CGGAATTATGAATCACGTTTTAAGCTACTTTAAAAAAGATTTAGACTTGAAGTCCGTGACCATCGTAGTGAGTGATAAAAAGCAGCTTTCCAAGACATCCCACGAGATAATAGAAAATATTGAAAAACACTTTTCCACTTTATTGTTGACGACAAAGGTAGTGAACTCGAGAGACAACCATAGCATGCGAGATAGCATGAATCGCACGTTGCAACTATTTTCTGGATCATCGGAACGCAATACTTTAAAAATTCTAATAATAGACCTTTCCATCAGTAAACTCCAGTTGAAAACAGAATTTTACTTTTACTTCGATCTATTGAAAAACCACACTCATTTTGGTCCACGTCCTCGTTGCCTCGTGTACTTGGTTAACGAAAGCCCTACTTTGAAAATACGCAGTATTTTGAGGAAAATGTGGTCCATAAAGTTTTTGTACACTACTCTCGTCGAGATAGTCGTTTCGAAAAGATGTGCAAAAAATAAACACCTTTTAAAATCTTGTAAATTCATTGACTACACCACGAATGTGATAGTATTTGATTACAATCCATTTATCGACCAATTACAATCCAAACGTGACCTTAAAAATTTGCAATTGTTTCCTGATAAACTTCGAAATTTACATGGGTACCCAATAAGTGTGGACACACATATAGTACTGCGAAATATAAAGAAGCCAATACCAATGGAAGTGTATTTAGGTAAAAGTGAACTTGAAAATTTTTACCGATACTTAATGCAGGCGTTCAATTGCTCCATTGATATCCAAGACAAGCCCAACGTCACGGGGAGATTGTACCTCGACAAACTTGACATGGAGGGACTGTGGAAAGTGATACCAGAGAGATTCGATCGGCCGTACAGCACGTACTTTGTAAAGTACAACTGGCACGTGCAAATGTGCATCAAACAACACGGTTTCTATGAGAACAAGGTCCCCTGGAAGTCAATCACTTTGGTTGTTGTGTTTCTTTTTGTGATTTTATCATTTGTCATTTTCAAAAAATTATTTAACTACAACTCACAACTTGCGGACAGTTATAATTTCGTTATGATTTTATTCGGTAGTGACGTGCGCGTCCCACTGAACAAGAGTATCGACCGAATTGTTTATCTGACTCTTATTTGCATATCCGTGACTTTCATATCGGAGTCACTGGAAGGAATATTCAGCGCAAGTTTTTTTCAAAAACATTTTTACGAGTTCAAGACTTACTACGATGTTATCGGTGCAAAAATGGCACTGGAAACAAGTTCCGATTCGCACAAGTACTTGCAAAGTAGAAATACTGACGCTGCTTTGCGCGAAATCTCTAAAAAAGTACAAAAGGTGCACCCCCTTTCGGAAACCGGTTGCACGTTTTTCTTTTTCACATCGGACGTAAATTTGTGCATCGCGGAGTACGGGTACCTGATTTACTACAGATTACTGTACAAATTTTACTTTCGAGACAGTTCTTTTTTGAGTACAGTCGAAGAACCGTTAGAGCCCTTCAACTATTACCGGACCATGAGGTTTTCGGCACATTCGCCGTACATCGATAAGATAACGACGTTGCTTTACTCGATAACGGAATCGGGTGTTCGACAGTATTGGGTGAAACTGTACGCATATCGTAGTATCGCTAGAAATTTTTACGTGCCGTTTTTCCATGATGAAGAATTAAAGAGATTTTTAATGACGTACTACGGTATTCAGCGCGTACCCAATACACCGCAGATCGATGCCAACACGTTAATTAGTGATCGATTGTTCTACATTATGTTGATTGGCTTTTGTCTTTCTGTTTTGATTTTCATTTATGAGCGATGTAGCAAACCGATAGAAAAAACTTTGCAAGTTGCAAATGAATAGCCAATAAATGTGTTTGGTTGAAAACACTTTTATTAATACGTATAACTCAAGAATGTAATTCATTATAGTCAAAAAATGGATTGAATACAGTTCGATCGAAACAGTCATTTTTGTGCGAAAAATCAAGTACTTTTGTTTGAAAACACCCATTTGAATATCTCAAATAAAAAAAAAAAAAAAAAAAAAAAATTATTCAATTAAACCGTAGTTGTAATTAGAAAACACAATAAATGTGGTTAAATGTAAAAATTTGTAAACCTTTTTTTTATTAATGATCCCTTGACTCCACTTACAATAAATCTTGTTAAAAAAAAAATAATAGTACATAAATTTATTAAAAATTTTATAAATGCGGAAGCCCGGTCACGACATCTGCATAAAAACACATAAGCACACACAAGTATAAGTATGAGTGCACAAAAACACGTTTACGTGAAGTTATCATTATGTATAGTAGTAATAGTAATCACTACTAAGGTACTAAGGTACTAAGTAGTGCCATATGGTAGATTTCATTAAACCATATAAGGATATAAGTAGAATACCTATACTTTTGGAGATCAATTTTCGGGTAGAAAATAGATTGTACACTTGCCGCAAACAGCACAAACAACGTCAACATATTATTTTCTATCTAAATTTCTAGTTGCGGCTGGTTTGTAATTGATTAAATGGCACTACTATAAATAGTGATAATTATTTGGATCAGCGCCATCTAGCGGTCTTTATTTTTTGGCTATAAGTGGCTCCTAAACTTTTGAACTCGAGCTCTAGCGATTAGAGCCATTTAGTCAATTATAAACCAGCCGCAACTCATTTTGTAGCCATAAAATGAAAAAAATAATAGTACGTGTGTTTTTGGCGGCAAGTTAACAATCTATTTTTTACCAAAAAGTCGACCTCCTATGTGTTTATACTTTTGAAGATAAATTTTTGAGCATAAGATAAATTGTTAATTTGCCGCCAAAAACATATATATCGTTATTTTTTTATTTTATAACCATACAATTAGTTGCGGCTGGTTTGTAATAGACTAAGTGGCCCTAAGCGCTAACGCTCTGGTTCAAAAGTTTAGAGCCACTTTTTAGTTCAGGAATCCGCAACGCTAGATGGCGCTGATCCAAATAGTTTGTGGTGCGTGTAGTGAGGGTCCCCACAAGTTGTTACTAAATTTATAGTAGTGCCCTTTAATCAATTATAAACCAGCCGCAACTGATTTTTCATATGTAGAACGATAAGTTAACGTTGTTTGCACTGTTTGCGGCGAGTGTTCAGTTTATCTTTTACCCAGAAATTTACCTCTAAAAGTACAAATATGTAGTTGATTTTTGGGTTTAAGATAGACTGTAAACTTGCCGCAAACAGCACATATCATGTTAAATTTTAATTTTGTAACCATACAATCAGTTGCAGATGGTTTATAACTGATGAACGCACCGATGATCACAAATCCCTGTAAAATCGACAAGTTTGTCGGTACCGTTTTATTGACAAGTCTCTGTCGTACCGGCGGTCGGCAATTTAGATGACAGGTACATACGGATATGTATTACCGATCATCATCTGTCGGTATGTCAGGGATCTCGTGTTCCTGTCGGCATAACAGAACCTCTATGCTAAATTTCTTATCGGTGGTGGGTCATTATCAATTGAGAATCTTTTTTTTTCATACTAACGCGAATTAATGCATCTCCACTTTAATTTTGACCTTATACGCGCAAGACACATTACGAACAGAAATCTGTCCATTACCTATACTCTTAAACAGCAATTGCACAGAGTGCAATACAGCATCAATGGCAATCGGCATTCCATTTGAATATTTTGAATGCACAACTGCGAGTCTATAGCTATAGCACTGCGAGAGAGCGGAGAGAGGTGACGGATCATTCGCCCTCTCTATCGCACTCGCGCATTCAAATGGATTACAAAAAAGTATTGACGCCTCACATGAACAGGTCAAACTGTTCAATGGCTTTCGGCAGCAATGGCAATACTTTTTCCCCCTCTTGTTTTGGAAGTATTAGTATCGCTTTTATTGCATTGCAGACTCCTATACTGACGTTGCGTCTGAACGCACCCTAAGTATACGTGAAGTTATCTGTAGTAATTATAGTAATCACAATACTATAAGTAGTGCCATTTGGTCAATTTCATTAAACCCTATAAGAAGAATATTTATACTTTTGGGGATCAATATTTGGGTAACAAATTAATTGTAAGCTTGCCGCAAATAGCATAAACAACGTCAACTTTTTATTTTCCGTTTATTATATTAGTTGCGGCTGGTTTATAATTAATTAAATGGCACTACTATAAATAGTAACAACTATTTGGATCAGCGCCATCTAGCGGTCTTTATTTTTTGGCCAAAAGTGGCTCCTAAAATTCTGAATCAGAGCAATCAGGATTAGAGCCATTTAATGAATTATAAACCAGCCGCAACTTATGATAAAGCTATAAAATAAAAAAATAACGATACGTGTGTTTTTGGCGGCAAGTAAATAATTTATCTTTTACTCGAAAATTTATTTTCAAAAGTATAAATACATAGGAGGTCGATTTTTGGTAGAAAATAGATTGTTAACTTGCCGCCAAAAACACACGTATCGTTATTTTTTCATTTTATAGCTACAAAATGAGTTGCGGCTGGTTTATAATAGGCTAAGTGGCTCTAAGCGCTAAAGCTCTAGTTCAAAAGTTTAGGGCCACTTTTTAGCACAGAAATCCGCAACGCTAGATGGCGCTGATCCAAATGGTTATTACTATTTATAGTAGTGCCATTTAATCAATTATAAACCAGCCGCAACTAATATAATAAACAGAAAATAAAAAGTTGACGTTGTTTGTGCTGTTTGCGGCAAGCTCACAATTAATTTTTTACCCGAAAATAGACCTCTAATAGTATAAATATTCTACTTATATGGTTTAATAAAATCGACCATATGGCACCATGTTCATAATACCCTGAACTGCGTCATTGTTAAAATCGCCAAAAGAACCGGATAAAACAGAGGAGACAACACATACATATATACATATATTAAACAGCAGCAGCTGCGCGTTGCGCCCGCCAGATATATCTCAGAGGGTGATTTCTGGCAGAGTGACCGACACAGGCTGTAGGTGGGGCGTAAATTAATACACCTAGTTTTAGTACGTAAGTACCCACATTTATACACCGGTGCAAAGTGATTGATAAAAATTTTATCATTTTTCAACCAATCCGATACTCGTATGTGATAAAATAGTTGTCGCATTTATAAATTATAGGCGTTACCTGGAGCTTCAGCTAGCATATAGGAATACAGTATATACACGGCCGTATACCTACCATACCTACACAGTCGGTGGAACACGAACGGAACGATCAAGCACACACATCAGGCTCTCTCGCTTGCGCTCGCATCATCGTCGTCGTCGTCGTCGGTCGTCGTCACAGAGAGGAGCAATAGAGGTGGTGTAGGTCGTAGTAGTGTGTGTTGCGCGTGCAAAGAGAGTCTACGGACTACGAAGTAGGTACGAGAACGACGTCGACGAGGAAGAGGTTGAGAAAGTGCGCGCGGCTTCCGAGAGAGAGTATACAACCAGAGTGGTCCCCCCGATCATTGTGTGGATAGTAACGTGATTGCTATTATTATTGTTGTTAATATACGTTAGTCGAGTAAAGCCTCCAGGATGAACGACAGGGAGGACAACGTCTACAAGGCCAAGCTTGCCGAGCAAGCCGAACGATACGATGGTGAGTTGTTTTCTTTCTTCTTTTTTTTTCTTTTCGATGTATTTTCCTCGCGCGCATACATACTGAAGAGCCTATAAGGTTGGCCGATACGTGTATTGACTATACTTCGCTACGTTGCACGCCCGGTGTCTCGAGACATGGGTCGGCTCTAACCCCACGAACGCGAGTGTCATAATCATCATCATCGTCGCAACCGGGAAGTTGGCCCGTTAGGGGTTAGAAGCGTGTACGCGAGCGGGCCTACCTAGAGCTCGATCGATTGACGCCTCCGTCGCTCCTCCCTCTCTCTATCGCTTCGCGGTATAGCTGTCTGTATATATATATACACATATCCGCGCCATAGGCACCTCCTGATGCCTCTCACGCTTTTTCTAACTCTCATTTTCCAAAATTTTTCCTCTCTCAAAGCTCCCCAAATTGAATTAGGTACGCGGAAAAAAAAGAAAAATAGCCCAGACGACGCCGCAGGCTTCTATAGGTATAACAACGTACATCTTATCACCTACGTTGGAGAGAAAGAGAGGGAGAGAGGCACGCGCGTTTCCGTCCACGCGGCTGGCTGCTCCGAAAGTGAGACTCACCATGTATACACCTTTGCACATAGAGCGTATGTACATTACGCAGCCGCTTTTGAGGGTAGGGCATAATTTAAGGAACAAAAAAGAAACAAAGAAAAGTCATATAAGTACTTGGGTAACGATGGTTGCCAAGAGACACAGAGAGAGAGAGAGAGAGAAAGAAAATTGTCGCCCATATTTCGCCGGACGGTGTATACGTTGCATTAATCGTCCGGTCGTGTTACCCAACCTACATACGTAAAGGAGGCTCCATGAACGTATGGAGCATAAGGAGCGCAGAGGATAGAGAGAAATGGAGGAGGCGCGCACACTGCATAACATGTATATATTTCTCTCGTAAAAGAGGGAAAGAGTCCATAGGCCAAAAGGAACTCCAGACGGACGTGGCTCTCCTTTAGCCGCGCTTCCTCCTTTTCTTTCCCGTTCTTTTTGCCAATATACGTGTATGATAGGTGTGTGTGCACATGCAGGTGTGTCATGTTCATGGGGACGTTGAATGGTCGCCACCGGTGTACCTATACATACACATATTATGTCCTCGAGGAGGCACCACGACTGGGAACTCTGGTGGTTATTTTCGGAGCAACTCCTTTTTTTCCCTCCCCAGTACTGGGTTGGAGTAGATTTTTATCTTTTGCAGAGACCAATCGGGTTGTGCGTTCCAAAGAATTCGAGAAAAGTCTCCTCGAGGGTACACATAGCACCGGACGGGTGACCGATCTATAGCGATCGAAAGGGCGGAAGCTCCAAAATAACCAATCGAGTTTGCGAGACGTTTAAAAAAATCATTTTCCAATATCCGCATCATCAGGTGCGCATCAATTCCGATTGAGTCAAAAAAAAAAAAACAGGGTGGCTCTCTCGACAGACAGAGCGCGGGAGCGACTGAGTCAGAGGCGCGGGCATAAATTTTTCCGACCGCCCACGCCGTCGTCGTCGTCGCAGGTGCCTCGCGCTTTGGTTGTACAGACATACGCACACGTCGGAATATATAAATATGCATCAGCCTCGCACGTACGTATATACATAAAAGCACAACAGATATCAAATGTATACGGACTCCAAATTGAATTGATAATACGCCGAGTTGTTACTCTTTGGATGTACCTACGGCCTTGTTTGACAGGCTTATTTTTCCCACGAAATGCGGATGAAAGGGGAAAAACCGCAGTATCCCCTTTCCCCCCCCCCCCCGAAGATTGACTTCCGCGCCAAAGAAAGAAGAGATCAAAGCTACTTTCTCCCCTGGCACCTATACGGCTCTCCTCCTACTGCCCTTGCCCTTACCCGCACTCTCTCTCTCTCTTTTTCTTGGTGTCTTGAATGAAAAAACGCGGCCAACACTCCCTCCGTTAATTTATTCGTCTCAGCGTCATTATGTATACAATTGTCCGCGAGGGTGTATAGTTTCATATGAAAGCAAAAAAAGAAAAGTAAGGGGGTAAGGATTGAAAATCAAGGGGGATGATATCCGTTTGCATGAAAAGGGGGTCTGGCTGGCACGCGCGAGAAAGAGAGAGAGAAGACGACACGGGAGCTCGGGGGAAAGTATTGATCTGTGCCCACCCCTCCTGGCCTTACCGCCCACCCCCTTCGTCAGACGCATGGCTATACAAATGTACACTATACCGTGTACCTTATGTGTGTGTGTATGCATAATAACAATAACAATGTATGGACAAACGAGCTTGTGTTGCGTGTCGAGTAATTTTCACCTTTTGTATACGTGATGGGCCAACTCTGGCTTTTCGACAATAGAACGTTGCATGAGTCTTTTTTTTTACCATCGTACTTTTCCAGTGTGGACTTGGAGAGGAAAAAGAGAACAAAAAATTGATGATATAGCTTGTTAGGCTAATGAACTTGTTTTCCTGTCGCTTCGTGAGAAAAACTCCACCGATGACTAACTGTAAAGCTAATCAGTGCGCGTCACCCGCGTGACTGATTAATTGCCCAATTTGGCTCTGATGAATAAGTTATGAAACCCGGCTTTTCCCCCAGAATCCTCTGTTTAAATGTGCATATACATGGCAAAACTAATGTGGATTGTCTTTTGATTGTTTTTTATAGAGATGGTCGAGGCGATGAAGCAGGTGGCTTCCATGGACATGGAGCTGACGGTAGAGGAGCGAAATCTCCTGTCGGTGGCTTACAAAAACGTCATTGGGGCGCGACGAGCCTCATGGCGGATCATCTCGAGTATCGAGCAGAAAGAAGAGGCCAAGGGCGCAGAGGAGAAGCTCGAAATGATTCGCCAGTACCGCGCCCAGGTTGAGAAGGAGCTCAAGGACATCTGCGCCGATATACTCGGCGTACTCGAGAAACACCTCATCCCATCCGCGTCGTCCGGCGAGTCCAAAGTTTTCTATTACAAAATGTAAGTCTTGCTGAAACACCTACCTCTGTAGATCTGTAATACGTATGTGTTTTTGTGACAATGTTGTTGTTTGATGAGACAGGAAGGGCGATTACCACCGCTACTTGGCCGAATTCGCGATCGGCCAGGACAGAAAGGAGGCCGCTGAGAACTCGCTCGTGGCGTACAAAGCAGCAAGCGACATTGCCATGACGGAGCTACCGCCGACCCATCCGATTCGCCTCGGGCTAGCGCTCAACTTTTCCGTATTCTACTACGAGATTCTCAACAGCCCCGACAGAGCCTGCCGCCTGGCGAAGGCAGCCTTCGACGATGCCATCGCGGAGCTCGATACCCTCTCCGAGGAGAGCTACAAAGATTCGACGCTCATCATGCAGCTGCTCAGGGACAATCTTACCTTATGGACTGCGGATATGCAGGGCGAGGGTTAGTTTGTTAAAAATCATGTTTTTCTCTCTTGGCACTTTACAACGTTGGTAGGTGGATGTATGCGTGTGTACACTGCACATCAAAGTAAGGTTGATGAGTGTTGGATGAGTACAAATTTTAGAGCCCGTTCCCGAAGCACCACCCGTCGTCCCAGCCAACGCATCCAGAGACTTGGCCAGCAGTGTACAGTCCTAAAATCCTCCTTCCTCTCGATCTCCCGTCATTTATCCCGTTATCGCATGAAAATCTCCAGGTTAGCTATTCCGCACCTTAATAGAAACATGTACGGCACAAAAAAATCCATACTCAGTGTTGCGTTCTTTATGTGCCTTTCCATACAACACGCGTATTTTATCGATTTTCTTTTTTTTCTGTGTTTAACAGGTGAAGGCGAGCAAAAAGAACAGCTGCAGGATGTGGAAGACCAGGATGTATCGTAACTCTAGTTGCAGTGAGTGTTTTAAAGTAAACGCGCATACACAACAAAAAAACATACGAGACGGGATGATGATGATGAACAACAACCAACAAACTCTTAATAATTATTAAGCAAATAAATAAAAAAAATAAATAAAATGAAAAATCAATTCAGTAAAGAAGCAGGAGGTTGGGGTGGGATCGGGGGTATACAGGGGAAGGGAGGGAGCGAGCGATGCGAGGTCTGTAGCAATTTTTTTGCGTGACCCTCTTAATAATGTTTACGCACGTACGGTTACTCCAAAAACTACAAAACCGCTATTATAAATGGAAAAGAAAAAAAAATTCATCCAATCACACATGTTGAGTTACGGAGCACGCAGAAATGGAAAGCAAAAAAAAAAAAAGAAGTATATTATATATGAAGAAACGGAAAAAAAAATAATGTAAATGACACGCACCCTGCGATATAGTGAGATTGCAAGCATTTATAAAAATAAAAGGCGCGGCAACATGTTTTTTCGTTTCCTTTTTTTCCACGAGCGCAGTGAGAAAAAAGAACAAAGATAATGTGTAACAACTTTCAAGTGTCGTCCTTGCATAGTGTATGCCTTGGATTAAAATTTTCCAAAATTATTAGTTTTTTTTTTTTTTAAGTAATCAAAGCCTGCATATCTTTATGGTTTTTCTCCTTTGATTTTAATTTTTGAGACAGAGAGACGTAGATATTCTCTTATCCACGAATCTCTCAGCTTTGAATTTTTGCAAAATATAAATATATATATTACTAGTGTGCGTGTGGAGAGGTGATGAAATTATATATATGTAATACCGTCAGAGGTGCATTACACGAGAAAATTTAGCGATCACGATTAATCCAATGTAATGTCAATGTTCGTCTCATTAACTATATTTTTTCGTTTGTAGAATTTAATAAACGATGTATCGCATCTTATCAAATGTGTGTTTAGACTTAAAAGCAAACAAGTGAATCGAAATTCCGAATGTCGAGCATTTAAAAAATGAAAAGCCATAACCACTTTTTGGTTCGTATTTAAAAAATTTCCTTTTTTTTATTACACTTTTCTCCTTGCCTGATTCTCTTTTTTTTATTACTGTATAATTTATATACAAACATACATATAAATATATATATATATAAAAATAATTCGAGCAATAATAAATGTTCCGCTGAATATTTTCTCCGAAATACATTTTGATTTTGTAATTAAACGCGTTTACACATTTATTTTCCAATCACCCCCATGCCCATCAAACTATAACAATTCATCAATTTTTATTTTTTTTATATTCTCATGAATGAATCGCCAAAGTAACCGTACTCCATTTCCGTATGCATTCGTTCAGAGGGGAAAGAAAAAAATTAATATTGACGACACACATGGTAACGTTGCCCAAAAAAAAAACTACTCTGCAAAATTTAGGAAAATTGAATAACCGTTTCGTATTTAATCACATGGTAGACTGAAAGAATTCAAGCTACAAAACTAGCTTAGTGACGGTTGTTCTTGTTCTTACACTGCTTGAAAAAAAAAAGAAAAAAATTGTACATCGTACGGAATAGCAATGATGAAAAATTAAAGTAACGAGAGGTATGAATATTTAGAAGCTGTCCCAAATGTAGCGGTCGTACTAAACGTGTTTTAGCCGAGTAGCCGATCTCTCTTCCGCGACTGTGTACGTTTGCATACTATACGTTCTCTCTTACTTCAAACTTGTATGGATAAAAATAGTTTTATGATATTAAAAAAAAAAAAAAAAAAAAAAAAAAAAAAAAAAAATGACAGAATAAATGTTTCTTTGTACTCTGTCTCTATTTTTTGGTCATCGTTTTACTTGTGTTATTTGTTTTATTTTTTAATATTTTAGTTGTATCATAAATTTGTCATGTTCCATCCTTTAATCTGTATTAATAAAATATTTTTTGAAAATTCCAACAAGACTATGGCAATACTGTGCATTTGATGTAGAAAAAAAAAATTTGCTACGATTGTCAATCTTCTTTGAACACAGAAAAAACGCGACAAACAAATTTTTGTTGAGAAAAAAAAAAAAAAAAAATCAAGTTAAAAAGGTAGATTTCACGTGCGAACGGAACTAAGTTTAAAACTTTCGACGTAGGGTTTGCAAGGCAAGAAATGGGGCAAAAAAAAATCAGCAGATAAGGTCAGGTGATTAAAAAAATCAGCAAAAGAGCGCGTCGATGTTAAGGTGTGTGTGTGTGTGTGTGTGTGTACTTTTGCGTGTGACCCCGCGCGCGTTTTCAAGTATTATATCACAAAAGTATACTGCAAAAAAATGGACAAACACTCGTTGATGCAGAATAAAGTATAAAAGTAATTATCGATAATGCTAAAAGTAAGATTATTGATATTTTTAATTGTGCAAAGAGTCGAGCATAAACATAAAAAAGAAAAAAGAAAAATGATTGTGGTATGAATTGTACAATGGGACTAAAGATACAGGATTAGAAAAGCAAAAATGTTACTTCTTGCAAAGGCAAAGAATAAGTGTGTATGCGTGTGTGTTTGAAGCGACTTTTCAATCAAATCAACTCGCTTTTGCTCGAAGCAAAATTAATAACTTTGGAGTGCGTGGTGCAGATAACGCGGACGCGCTTCGTGCAAAATCGCGATAACGAGGAAAAGAGAGAGAGAGAGAGAGAAAAAAAAAAAGTAAAATTACAATAAGTATGAATTTGGGGTGAAGGGGGAAAAAAAACAGTGATTTTTCGTAAGTATTTTGGATCCGCATGCATATATGATGCTCCATGTATTAGAGTTTAAAATACAATTACACCGAAATAATATAAACTTTTACTGTAAAAGCCACACACACACGTGAAAGCTGAAAAATAAACAAAAAAAAAAAACAAAAAAAAAAGAAAAAACTGTCTAATACAATAAAAACGCTGTTGCTTTCATTTTCTTGTAAAAATCAATGTCAAAAGCCAACGGACAAATACATATATCACAGCAGAGTTTTTTTTTACGTTACATCGACTAAAATGGCTTATTGTATATACGACACACACACAAAATTGTACAATTGAACGCATCGCACGCGTGTAATGTATACAGAGGAGGGAAAAAAAGGCACTCGATCTGTATCACAAAGAAGAAAGAAAAAAAACGATGGACAAAATCACTTCACGTAAAATCGGATTCTATGGGCCTCTTGCCGGCATCCGGGCCGTCACCATTGAGAAAACGCATAAGCGCGTAACCGGCGTTCCGGTGTATCGGCGACAAGCTGTTAAGACTCGCCTGCTTCTGTCGAGCCGACGGTGTGCTCGTGAAGGCTCGAGGTGACCTCACGTCGTTGGACCGACGTTTCTTCACGGACCGAAGCTTTACGTTGCGCAGCATGTCCAGGGAAACAACGGGACCTCGAACGCTCTCCTACAACCAGATTTATTCCCATCACCTGTCACGACAACCGTATCTCAGCAAAGGAAATGCACAGGCACACCGAACGACGGGACACTCACCTTGGGATTCTGCGATGGCTTCTTCAACGTGACCTTCATCAGATCCTCGACTGTGATCGAAGGCCGGTGGGGAAACGACGTCTTACCCTCGCCACTGCTTCTCACCCCCTTTGTCACCAGAGGCAAGGGCGTAACGCCTGGTGCAGGTGGCGGTGGTGGAGGCGGTGGAGGTGGTGGTGGTGGCACCGACTTGGCCTTGATGCTGATCATCTCCTCGAAGTGCTTCAGTCTACTCTCGACGTCACCAATCAGCCGTTCCCTGTCTGCTCGCAGCTCCTTGACTTCGTTGGCCAGGGCCTCGTTGCTGTCTCGCAGCTGAAAAACCATACATACCATTCAACTTTGTCGAAACAATATTGTATAATTGTCAACGAGAAGATAATTACCCGCGCGATTTCTCGGGACAAGGTCGACAGTAGGGAGTTCTCTCGTTGTATCAGAGTGGCGACCTGCGCCAGCTCGTCCCCCCTGCGCTTGCCAAACCTCGCCAGTGCAACCAAGTGCTCGTAACCCTGTAAATATTTATTATTTGGGTACAAACGAGTAATTATTAGGATGTTTTTAGAAGTGCATATGTGTAATGATATGTTTCAAAGCCGAACCCATTTGATCCAGGTGATAAACCTTTGAACGAACCAGCTGCAAAGCCTTACGACAGCCCAGCCTTTCTTCTGATGACGTTTAGGAGTCGGAGGTGCGACCGGTGTTTTTTGCTCCTCAGGAATCGTCTGCAGGTGAAAACGCCGACGACAAACATATGCGGTACAAAGATCATCCGAAGGGAAAAAAGAATCATAGCTCGTTGTCGTACTCACCTCGCCGTCCCCGACGATCGGTAGTTGTAGCAGCTGGTCGGTGCTCATCGGCGTTTCCGCAAAACCGATTGACCCCAGGTCGACGAAGCACGTGTTGTCGTTGGCCTTATTGGACTCGTTACTGCATGAATTGTCCTTGGAAGACGACGACGAGGTGAGATCGACAATGAAAGACACGCTGTCAACCAGGATCGTCTTCTCGAACACCGAGTCGTCGTCGTCGTCGTCGTCGTTCAACTCCGGGAAATCAAAGCCCAGACCCGGTGCCATTGACTCCCCACGAGGTGTGCACTCTTGGGACGCCAGTGCGAGGTTTTTCCAAGCTGTATACTTAAGGTTACTGAAGATGGCTGCTCGGAAACTCTGAGAATTCGTTAATCGGTTTTTGTTTGCGGGCGCTTATCATTATTAGTTTTTTTTTTTTTTTTTGTTTCCTAATTAAACGACGATTATAGAGTTATGTTGGTACGTCGATTTGAGATAGGTGTATTCTTCCAATGGTTTCAAACGTTTCGACGCGACTGTTAAAACTCATGGATTTACAAGCGTATACTTAAACTTGAGATTGTTTTGTTGTTGTTGTGGGTTTTCGAACCCGTGGTGTGTTATGTTTACTGTTTGTTTTCAAGGATATTCGATTGAGGGAAAGTTAGAGTGAAAACAAACGTTTATTTAACTAACTGGTTTTTATTTAACAAGGGCTTACAATGATGATTATAAATATCGGCCAATGTGAAAAACTCGTCTAGCGAATTTTTTTTTTTCTTCTTTTTCTTATGATCAATCGACTTTATAATACAAGATATTACATGATTCTCGATCGCACTATTGACATGTAAATGCTGCAATTCGCGTCAACAATAAAGTTCCTGGATTGAAAAAAATCAATCTAACAGCTTCGTATTACGGGTTTTTTTTTTTTTTTTTTTTTTTCCTCTCGGTCATTCGTTAATGGTTCTAATTTACTTCTTGTTAATGAAATCCTCGCCTTTTTGGATGTTCTTCTTGAGTTCGGGAATAGCTGCAGCGAGGAGTTTCGACTCAAAGTCACTGAGCTTGCCGAGGCCAAGGTTCTTTTCAACTCCGTTTTTCTGCAACACGAATGATTTTTCAATTCGATTTATTTCATATACACACGCAATTTTCTCAAAGTATGTATACTTACGCCCAGCACAACGGGGGTGGAAAAGTATTTGGCTTCGGTGACGTTGGACCTAACGTAAGAGCATTCGACGACGTTCGACTCGCCGTTTAGTGCTCTGATGAGGGAGAAGGCAAATCGGGCGCCTGCATAGGCCATGGAGAGAGTAGCCGAGCCAGTACCAGCCTTGGCCTTGACTACCTCCGTGCCAGCCTCCTGGATCCTCTCGGTGAGGGCCTTGAGCTGGTCTTGCGGGAACGATACTGATGGGGTAGCTTGGGATATCAGTGGAATAATGGTAATACCACTGTGTCCTCCGATAACAGGTACACTAACTTTTTGGGGATCCAATCCCTGGAAAGAAACATTGTTTATTTAGACGGGAGTGAATTTCCTCCACAACATGGCAATGACAAAGATTTATTTTGTTTTTCATTAAAATTTTTACCTTAGCCTCTCCAATAAAGGCGTTTGCCCTAACAATGTCAAGAGTGGTAACTCCGAAAATTCTATTGGGGTCGTATACACCGGCCTTCTGGAATACTTCACTGGCAATTGGTACGGTACTATTTACAGGGTTCGAGATGATGGCCACGAAAGCTTTTGGCGCAACTTCAGCAACAGCCTGGGCGAGATCGCGCACGATCGATGCGTTTGTATTGAAAAGGTCATCGCGGCTCATACCCGGTTTACGAGGCACACCAGCAGGAATGACAACGACCTAGACACGAAAACAGATGAAACGTCAAGATACTCGGCTGTTTTATCGTGTACACGTATACACGTCTTACTTGAACTCCCTTCAACGACTGCTTGAGCTCATCTGGTCCGGTGAACCCTGTGACTTTGGAGGCAGTGTTGATGTGGGACAGATCAGCAGCTACACCAGGTGTATTTACAACGTCGTAGAGCGACAATTCGGTGACGAGTGGCGATTGCTTGAGCAAGAGGGACAGTGGCTGGCCAATGCCACCACTGGCACCCATGACGGCCACTTTGGCATTACGCTGTAATAAAAATTCTAAATTAAAACCCTTGGCTTTACTCTTGCATCACAAGTATGAAATTTCGAAAAATCACTTGGTTTAAATTTTCATGAATGAACCAATTACTTTACGTTTTGTAACGATTGTTACACAAGGTCAAAAAGAACTAGAGCAGCAGCAGCAGCAGCAGCAGCAGCAACAGCAAAATATGTAGCCTAGGCCTCATTTACCTCCCACTTAAAATCAACTCACGTCCTTGACCAAGTCAGTAAGCAGTACTCAAGTAAAGGATATATAGCTTTTAACTTTGAAAATCGTCAAGGAAAAAACAGATTGCATAACTCTCGTACTGTCACAGATATTGCAGCTAAGGCTCTAGAGGCGGGTGGTGAGATGTTGGTGGGAAGAAAAAAAAAGGGCAACCAAAAAAACTGACCTGGGAGCTAGTGGACAGCTGCTTGGCGCCATTCTGGGTGGCGATGGTGATGGTCGGCCTGAGAAAACGCGGCAGCATTTTGACGATTTGCCTCTCTGATGGTATAGTGTTTGTCAGTAAGTACAAGCAGCGACTCCGAAAGCTCGGGTGGAATGAAAAAAAGAGGAGGAGGAGAGAACGAGAGAAGGCGCAGTGGCAGCAAGTGTGTGGCCGAGGGAGCGCGCGCGCAAGATTACAGGCATGAAGTGATATTATGATTATTTGATAAAACACGCACGTCACACACACTGCACCGTTTGATCGGTTCTCCTCTTCTTTTCGCTTAGTAACGTGATGCCGCAGTGACGTTATTATGAGATACCGATTTATTTTTACTGATGCTCCTAAAATATAAATGCGTTCAGTAAATACTCTTCTGCTACGCTTAGCATATTTTTCTTATGTTCACTGCAATATATATATATATGTATGTGTCGGTGTCCGCGCACAAATTCAAATTGTAGTTCTCTTCTCCCACCCCTTTTTTTATTTTACCCCTCAATTGCTGTTCTCGGGGATCCATACATGTATCATGTATTACTACACATCTTAGTGTATCTAGGTAAATTAGCAAAATAATTGATACAAACCATTTTACTTTTTTTTTTTTTTTCAGTTCATTTGCAAAGGCTCAACTTCATTGGCTGTAGCAATATGAAACAGATATAGGTATTTAATTACATCCTAAGGTAATTTTTCTTAATTAAAAAAAATTTGTTATTAGTCAGTTTGAAATATTTTATGTCCTTTTTGTCGGACACATTAATTTAGACGTTTGAATAAATATGACCGATACAAGTAAAAAGTATGTTAAATAAAAAAGAACATCTTTATACATACGTGAATACTGACAAAAAATAAAATTATACTTGATATTAAAGTTATGAGGAAATTAATTGAAATACTACGATAATTTATTTAAATTTTAATCAAATTTATAGTTCATCTTATATTCAAGTCCCTTTTCTGACATATAATGCAAAGATACAAGAAAAAAATATTTGTTTCACTTTTTTAACTGTAATAATATATAATTAACAAAAAAAGAAAATGCTCTGAGAGCAGTGCTGAAAAATATAAGGGTGGGATTAGTCACATCAATTTTTACGTATGCCAGTCTCCAAAATCAAAAAGGCATAAGAAATCATGTATGACATCATTAGACCCATAGCCTGAAAAAATATAACATACTATAACATTTTAGTACAAAATTCTTTTCTAACGTATTTTAATTGTTTTTCTAACGTAATTTTAAAACAGCAGGAAAACACTTACCGATATAAAAAAATTTTCATTTATTTGAAAAAGGTCGGCAAAATTAAATTTAAATTCTGCACTTTTGCATTGATGCAAAAATAGTAATAGCTAAAAAAAATTCTTGTAATTCTTCAATCATTTTTAAAACATAAATTTATTACTTTGAAGTTCTTACCTGATATGTTATGCTTTTGTGTTTCACGCTATCGTGAGACGTCAAACCATTCATCAATGTACGGTTAATCCTTTCATTCTGTATAATTTATAACAGCTTTATAAAACATTAACAGCAAAAAAGAAAATTTTGTATTAGTAATAGTGTACCTGTTTGATTACCATAGTTGCACACTGAGTTATTAATAAGATCATAATTATATAATTAGAGATTTGTACGAGATCTGATCTTGAGAATCCTATGGGAGTCATGCGCAAGTAAAAACTATACATGATAACTGTGAAACAATACTCCATAAGAAACCCTAAATTCACCACTATACATAAAAATATCGGTAGGGAGTAGTAGTCAAAAATAACTTTTGACAAGTCAGCCAATGACACGTAGATTCTTTGCAATTTTATGAGTGTCAGTAATTTTTCTCGTTCACTTACATGACTGTATGAATCAATAGTACTTGTCACACCCGATGACATTGCGAAATTATTTTTCAAATGGTAATTAATCATTTTTAATAAGCATCCAATTAACGTGACAATCAATGCACATTGAAGGAGTATTGCGTCCAATATCATCAATTTAATTAGATGACACAACAGATCAAATAAGTACCACGGACGGAAGGCCGGTAGCATAAAATTTAATGGCAAAATTACTTCTCTGCTGTACGCAACACACTTGAACAGTATGAAAGAAATGTATTTCAGATATCTTAGTGACCAATTGTCATTATATAATATTTTTTTCGATCCTTTAAGGGTTTCTCTAACCGAATTTAATTCTGTAAAAATAGTAATAGCTGTTTTATGTTTAACAATAGTATGCATCAAGATAAAATCGACTGTCACAAAAGTAAGTTTAAAAAAAACATCCATGTTAATGCTGCTGATTAATTTCATATTCTTATAAGCTTCAACAAAAATTTCTAGTGAAGTAAAATATTGCATGGTAATGAGAAATGTCAGTAAAAGAATATTATATGCTATCCCAGCGTAGGAATAATTAAACGACCAGCGTTTAAAAATATTATTTTCAATGGAGATCTCATTAAAATTCATAGCTGTTGTCCCAAGCATTCGATTGTAGAAGTAAAATAGTTTAAACATTGAAAGCTTGAATTTTTTTCTTCCCATTCTTGATATCAATTTACCAAAAATCTTAGAGCAATAAAAGTTTTGAGCTGAAAAACCAATGGTAATTTATTAAAAGAAAAATAATTTGTTTTACTACATACCTGCTTTTGAAATTTTTTCTATTAAAAGTCGATTTTTATGGAATAAAACAATTAATAAAAATGTTTACTTAAACAAAAGTTGTTTAAAAAGTTGAAACGATGAAAATGTAACTCACTGACTCTCTCAAAGTCTGAAAGTTGACTAACTGCGTGCGGTAAAGTATTCCGAAAGAAAACGTATCGTTTTCTAAAAAAAAAAAAAAACTCTTTTTAATCAACAAATGTAGTTCGTTCGTGAATTTTTTACACGCTTTCGTGTGAGCGAACCTTCATTTAGGTACTTTATGCTGTACAAATGTACTATATAGCTGAGCTATGCTACGCCTTATTTTTTGAGCCAATGGAAGGATTAAGTAAATTAAAGAAGGTACTTATTACCTTAATTTTTGGTCGATTCTTAAGTATATTACGTCGGTATTTTGACAAAAACATTACCTTCTTTTAATTTAAAAACGTGTATGTACTTTAAAAACCTTAATTAAAGCTGCCTACCCCGTTATTTTGACATGCAGTATTAATTTATAACATTGATGATTCAAAAATTAGTTATTTTTTTGCCAAAAGAGAGGAGAGTGCGCCTATTCTTTATCCATCTAATGTTAGATTTAGCCTAGATTTGAGTCGATTGATTGAAAACTCGCGGAGAAAAATAGATTTTTATATTGGAAAAGTAATGCAAAATACGTTAGTTCTCATTTTTTTCTCAAAGAATTCTAGTCAACTCTTCTTTTGGCGAGGTAGCAGCTATTTTTTAAACGAATAAAGTTAAATGTCATAGAGTAACCTTGTGCACATATTAAAAAAAAATTAAACCTTAATAAATGTCTAGTCGATTTTTGCCGATCGATCAGCAGGTATTTTCTGTAGGTGATGTGGAGAGGTTTTTTTATCAGTATTCACAAAGAAAAATAGTACTCCAACTCTACAAGATTATTACATAAGAAGGGTATGTATTCACTTGAAAATAAAGAGTGCATGAAAAGGTCTCTTTGACGTAGTTTTGAGGGTACATATAGTAATACGTTATTAACCGTCTACAATACTCCAGATGCATAAACAGTTGTAACACACTTGATATTATTTTTAAGTTTTTCAAATAAAAAAAAAAAAATTATTCCATCGGTGAAAAAATTTCTGTTGTCTTATTAATAATATCATATTATATAATAATTATTTGATTGCTCGTTGATCTTTTTATAACATTTTTGATCCCAAAAAATGCAGCACGGTATAATTATATTCCTTAAAAATTGAACTTTTACAAAACATTGAAATAATTTATTTTATACATACATAATTGTGTACATTTTTTATAATTTATTAATCAAAAGTGATGATAAATGTAACGTCCATCTCAAAGGAGTGAGAGTTTCGCCTTTTTACATATTTAACTCTCGAATTTTTCATGAGTTAGATGCCTTTTAGTAGAGGATATTGCACCTATAATATGAGGTTTTAGAAATGTATTGAAGAAGATACACTTACCTTGCCGACGAAAATTAAATTATCATCCAGAAAAATTTATTTAAACTGTGAACGGTAAAACCATTTCAAATTCCAATTTTGGGTTTATCGTTAAGTTACTAAACTTGTAAAATAGGTATAATTAAAAAAATTAAAAAAAAAAAAAAAAAAAAAAAGAAATAGAGAATAAATGCAATACAATAAATGCAAAATTCTTCAAGTATTTGATTGATTTATTAAGTCCCAGTGAATTAGGACATTCAAATCTTTATAACACATTCGTTATTACAGTTATATTTATCATTATTGTTACTATCATTTTACCATACCACCCACCACGAACTGCAACACATCCAGTCATCGTATGCATATTATATAGATATACATACAACTCGTGCTCATGATGGATTTTTTATGTACTCGTAACATTAAAATTTTCTTTTTTTTTGTGTCATACGTAAAATGCTACACGTAACGTTATTCAAAACTTACACTTACTATTATAATTGTTTGACGAAAGGCAACATTTATTCATTTATTATTATTTTTTTTTCTTCATTACGAACGATGTTGCTTATTATCGTTTAATTGAATGTGGAATTTAATCACGCAAATCTGCTTCATTTTATTTGCGCGTTTTATTATCCACTGATTACAATTAAAATTACTTTTTTTCTATCTCTCATGTGTATCATTTACATCTGACAAATATCATAGAATTACAAATTCATACTAAGATTCGATTACTGCACATAAGATCGGCTGTCTTATTTTTATTTATTTTGTCGTTTCGAAAAATAGGATCACGAAATTCTTCGATGCCTGTAATAATCTACTTCATTTCTAAGTGGAGACTAAACTTCAACATGTGAACGAACTTTTAACCATTTAGGTATATTCGCTCAAATGAGACTTGCATACACCTAATATCCTCATCAAGTCAAAGCGAAGGTTTTTTTTTTCTTTCAGTTTTTTTGATTTTTGCGAGTTTCGGAGTACCTTTTGTGCTTTCACGAAGGATTGAATTTTGTTTATTTATATATTTAGCTGTGAAAAATTACTGGGATGGAATCGCATTATTACAAAACACTTACATATTGCGAGTGAACTCAAATGCCAGT